GCCGCCATTTTGAATTTTGAAAGGGGCCACACGGCAAATAAAAGTAGACATGTTTAGCTAAATTTTCAGCCCTGAAAAAATTTTTTGGGTTCATATGATTTCTGGGCAGAGGGGGGTGTCCGGTTGAGAAAGAATGCCCCACATATATACAGGGTGTCCCATTTTGAATAATGCATTAAGATTTCCCGAAAACTGTGGTAGATACGGAAAAATGCTTTAAACAAAAGTTTTATAGTTCGGAGGGAAACATAAGAAAATATCATTAATTTGACCTTGGGTGGCGTCGCCAAGGTCGGGTCACATCGATTTTTTTTAAATGGAATATCCTATTTTTCATGACCGAATCTAATAGCTGGTGTCGAGAGCTTTTCAAAACGCTATAAGAAAATATATTTTCTTTAAGTACTTTTTGAGTATAATACTTGAAAGTTATAATATCGCCGCCATTAGTATTATCCAAAGTATCCGACCGACGGCTAAAATCTCTTGAATGCTGTTCAGCATCATGTCCTGGATATCATTAATGAAAATCAAAGCCAATGGAGGTTGTATCTCTTATTGCGCAATGCTAATGCTGACGGTACTGTAACTTTCAAGCCTTGTAACTCGAAAAGTACGTAATAGAAAATAATTTTATTACAGTGTTTCAAAAACACTCTTAACACCAGCTATTAGATCCTGCCATCAAAAATAAGGTGTTTCATTAAAAAAAATTAATGTGACCTTGACCTGACCTTGCCGAAGCAACCCAAGGTACTTTCTTATGCCCCCCCCCCTTCGGAACCATACAACTTTTGTTTGAAACATTTTTCCGTATCTACCACAGTTTTCGAAAAATCTTATTATTTAAAATAGAATACCCTATATATCAGATGTTAACTTAATTCCTGCCGCTCGCTACTAGAGGGTGCTGGCTCCAACGCTGGCGAGTTTCGACGATGAAGTCTTATGTCTTTTGTAGTTTAGACATCGCTGAAAGTGATTCAATCGTCACAGGTTAGATTTCTCGACGCCAAAGACATTTTCCAATCGATTGAAAATGAATCGCGATAAGCTGTTTTTCCGACATGTACTACTTCGACCTCAAGAAAACCGCAGTTGAAGCGCATCGCTTATTATCCGAAGTATATGGTGATGAAACTCCATCGGAAAGAACATGTAGAGTTTGGTTTGAACGCTTCCGAAACGGTGATTTTGATGTCAGAGACAAAGAACGTCCAGGACAGCCGAAAAAATTTGAAGATGTCGAGCTGCAAGAATTGCTCGATGAGAATCCAGCTTAAGCGCTTTTAGAGTTGTCGAAACAGTTAAATGTTACTCCAAAGGCCGATTGAGTGACGAATTGATGCAAAAAAGATCATCCGTAGCCAACAATCGACG